TTTCCAAAGTTGAGAGCCGAGTTTCTCTCGGCACGTTACTCATTTATGGGATTTTTGAGAGCTATCTTGTCAAAATCTCGTTGAGATTGAATTTATTATGTTAATGAACAAAATTTCACGTGCTCTACGCAGTTTAAATGCAAAAATTCTTGAGAAATGTCAACAAAACGCACTTAATATGGTCTGTTTTCACTTGAACGGTTTATGGGGGATACAGAGAATCCACTAAAGAACAAAAAAAAATCTCATTTCTCAGGATCTATAGCTTTTAAATGTCATAATTAAATATGATTAATTGAAAATCATTAAAATCTTAAAGACTTTTTATCAAAAAAACTGAAACTTTTAAAATCCCATAAATGAGTCGAGCGACACTCGGCTCTCAACTTTGAAAAGCCATATAAAAAAGTTGAAAGCTTGAAATGATTAGATAATGAGCACCGTTCAAGGAGACATACTTAAGATTTACCTTCAAAAAAATCAGAACGATTGACCAAATTTTGACCGATCTAAACCCTCTGAAGCGCGACGCTATAATTGTGGACCACCATGTAATAGTAAAGTTCAATTGTGTTGATTTTGTTCGCAAATTCGTTGACTCGCAGTAGTTTTTTACTTTAAAATTCCCAGACCGAGCTCGTGATGCAGCTGACAAAGCTGGAGACACGTTGAAAGAGATTAAAGGTATAGAATGCTCTTCAACTACCTAGTCATAAAAAGATCCTTTGTCTACAGAGTTGCTCACAATTATAGCGCCGCACTTTAGAAGGCCTAGATTAGCCAAAATTGAGTCAATCGCTCTCATTTTTCTGGAGGTAAATCTTAAGTATGTCTTCTAGAACGGTGCCCATTATCTAATCGTTTCAACCTTTCAACTTTTTTATATGGCTTTCCAAAGTTGAGAGCCGAGTTTCGCTACTCACTTTAAAAAAATCCTTTTTCTACAGGGTGGCTCACAATTATAGCAAGCCACTTTAGAAGGCCTAGATTGACCAAAATTATCATCTTTCAGGAGGGATAAATAAAAAATTTAAAAAAAAAGAAAAAGAAAAAAAAATTTTTTTTTTTTTTTTTTTTAAGGGGGATTTAAAAAAAAAAATATTAAAAAAAAATTAAAAAAAAAAATTAATTTTTTTTTTTTTTTTTTTTTTTTTTTTTTTTTTTTTTTTATAATGGAGGGATGGGGAAGAAGAAGGGGGGAGGGGGGAAAGGAAAGGAAAAAGGGGGGGAAAAAAAAAAGACCCTCTGAAGTGTGGGCCACAATGTATAATCTGACGAGATGCTAATGGAGTGTTCAAAATGAACTTCGAGTCATCCTAACTCTATGGATAAAGTCAAGTATAGCCGTTACTTTGATAGAAAAGAACGACAAGTCCTAGGGTTAATTGCTTTGAAGATTGAATGGCCAGAAGCATTTTAAAAGCCATTTCAATGTCCCACCTTCAATATGGCTTTCTCTGGGAGTTCGACCGAATTTGGAGTCCAATCAAAAGTCAACAAAATGACCGATGAGACAAATCCCTATAAAATGGGAGATTGGCTGAGAATTTAACCTTCAAACCCCTCCATCTCCGCATTTTACAGCAGTTTTTTTCTGCCCAAAAGTCGAAGATGTATTGAGAGATTTCTTCAAATTCTTTTCAATCAATTCCCATGTTAAAGGAGTGTTCAAAATGAATTTCGAGTCATCCTAAAGTGAAAATTTGCTGAAAATAAGATTCCAAACGTTTAAAGAATCTCCATTAGATGGTTTATCAGCTAAGAAATATTCGGGAATATAATTTGACATCGAAAATTTTACGGAAATGATTGAGAAAATTTTCCACCAATCTACTCTATGTTCGCTTTGTGGGAGATGATGGATTGCTTGAAAATGATAAGTAAAAAGGAACAAAAGAAGAAATCTTTGAGACAAAGCAATCTTCTTGAGGATGGTTTGTTAAGAATGGTTATTGATTGATCGACTTTTTTTGTGTTTTATTTGAATTTCGAATTATTACATTCTTGACTCTGTGCTACGATTGAAATTTATTACTCAAAATTTGCACAAAATATTAGGTTGAGTACTAAATAAGGGAAGGATGATTAGGTCCCGCGGCCTTTTCCGATGATATATATATAGCCAAAGAAGTCTCAAATTTTTTCGCTAGCGAAACCTTCTTCGGCTAGCCGATTAAGTCTCAAAAATGAAATCTTGAGTTATGTATTGACTCAAGTCCTCAAACTCAAGCTCTCTAAAAGGCGCTTGAAAGCTAAAAACGCATTCTAGTTGCAGTTGCATTTTTCGACCAAACTAAACAACAAAAATAAACAATAATACCAAAAAGCGAGTTTATAAACAATAATAAAACAAAAATTTAACAATAATACCACCGGTTCACGAGTTCTTTGACTTAAAAGCAAACAAAATAAAGCGTCATAAAGAAATTCGATAGGACACAAAGGTAAAAGCTTACCGATCTGTTGGCGAACTCCTTTCCGTTGTCGGACTGAAGAATTTTTGGGGCTCCAAACGTTCCGAATATTTCCATTAGATGATCGACAACTTCAAATTGTGTTTTCCTTTGCAATGCTCGCAAAACGACGAACTTTATGAAATGATCCTGGTAGACCATCAAAAACTTGAATTCTCCATCGGAAACGGATTGAAGATCGATTAAATCCGTGCCTTTGACGAATGACGAAAAGGGCCCTTTTATAGCCTTTGGCCTTCATCTGAGCCGATGAAGTCTCAGAGTCTCAAAAATGAAAGCTTGAGTTACACTTGCTCTATGCAAAGTTGCAAATATTACTAGTTTTGATCTATTTTTGCATTCATCATCTCTGAATGTTTTTTTGCATTTTGAGGCTTTAAATTTCAAATTTTATTGAGTAAACAAACATTAATAAAAACAAATATTAACATAAAAAACATTAACATACCAAAACAAACTGAAATTTACTTATTCTTGCAGGTGTTGCTCTTGTGGCATCGGCTGTTGCATTGTAGATTGGCTTTCCAGCAGGGGCATCGCCCGTTCACACATCCATTCGTGCAGTTGCAATGCTTGTGACCTGAAAGAAACTTAAAACCGAACTATTTAAAAGTTTACCTTGAGTCCCAGTCAGCGATTGTGATCCTAGGGCGGCTCGAAAGGTTGTGGTCCTGGCTCACCTAGAACCTAGGAATCAAACCAGGCATGACACATGGATACACAAACTAAGAGAATAATGTGCAAGTTTTGAGTGAGTTGTGTCTATGCCCTTTCACTTGATTTAAATAATTTATGCGCACATTTAAACGCTTAACAAATAGTATGGATATAATGGTTTCACAAAGATGATTCACAGAAATAAGCAGAAGCTTGCAAGGTTGACAGAATGAATAAACGCTCAAATGAATGACAAAAAGGTTTCCGAAAAGGACAAAAGATAGTTGACTCACTGAATCGCTACCCTTTGGGGTAGCTACGGCCCTTTGGGATACGTTTTAGCATTCAGCTATCAACTCACTTGAGTGAGGTGTGAAAAAGTCCACACAATGAACATAGTATTGATGTAGTCTGGCCTGGCCTCATGTATGACTGGAATTTGGAACAGATCCATCAAAGATCTTTCTATTTATGCTAAACTCATAAACCTCATCCACACAAAAGGTCGACTTGCGCGCTACATGAGCAACCGATTGCTCTTAGAGTACTTTGAGATTGGGATTCTCTTTGTTGCTGTACAAATCGTTCACAAAAATCTCTATTTCAATGTTTTATTCAAGAAATACAAACTCTGATTGTTTTAGTCACCCAGCACCAACCTCAACGCAACTTCAAAGTTGAGAAAAGAAATTCTGTCTAGAAAAGGTGCAAGGAAATTTGAAAGCGGAAACGATATAATGCTCAGCTAGCTTAAATTGTTTTTTTTTTTGTCAGTGATCAGTTTAAAAGCTCATTTCAGAACTGACAGTGAGCAAAGACGGTTGTCAGCGCCAGATCTATGCAAGATGACTGGTTTTTCCGTCTTTCTTTCTTCTTTCCTTCTTTATCTTGACAAGTTTATACTGAATAGCTCAATGGTTAGAGCAATTGCAAAGCAAATTGGAAAGCAAAAGGTCAAGGGTTCAATTTTCTGCTTTTTCTTGCCAATTCCTTCACTTCTTTATTACAGATCCTAGGGCCGGTTGAAGCATTTCACTGCTACAGTAAGAAATACTGTTCAGCTACCAGAAGTGAACAAGTTTGCATTAATTTGGAAAGGCTCAAGGTTCACAAGGTTCACAAGGTTAAGATTTCTTACTTTAAGCGTATTTTATCGTATTCTAACTGATGTTCGAGGATCTGGTTGCTTTTTTTCTCAAAGTCTATCAATTCCTAAATCTTTTGACTGTTCAAAGTCTGTTCGTTTCTCTGAAAATGATTATCTCATTCAAAATTATCTCAAAGATCCCTCATCAAAATCAAAAGTTCATACTTTGAACATGTTTTTATCGGATTCAAATGTTAGAGAGCCTAGACATTTCTGAAGAGACTAAAAACAAAGCGGAAAAGCCAAAGAGGGACTCAAAAAGAGTAAACAAGACTCTTTTCTTTTGTTTTCTTTTCCCTAAAAGTGCAACTGTCCCAGACGTTTGTTGTTTTCTATAAAGTACAAGTTTTTTTTGGATTAGAGAAAAGAAAGCGTGAATATTTTTGCCGATTTCGAAACGATGGACAAAGTGCAAATTGAGGGGAGACGATTTTGCCATTCTTAACCAGAATTTTCATTCAGTACACTGAAAGCAAGCTATTTTATGCGCTTTGAGCTACGAATATTCGTAATTTTATATGAAAAGGTTTGAAATTTAATAGAATTTAATGAAATTTAATGGAATTTAATGAAATTTAATGGAATTTAATGAAATTTAATGGATTTTAATGTTTTAATGGATTTTAATGGATTTTAATGAATTTTAATGCGAATTAACTTCAAATTTCACAATTTCACTTGTCATTTCAGCCGAGATGAAGCTCTTCAAAGAAACGTTCTTTATGCTATTGATTTTTGTGATCGGCGCATTGATGGTTAGTTTATTTAAAAAGAGTAAATGTGGATTTGAATTATAGTTGTTATAAAAATTAGCCACGACTGAATATCTTTTGATTTCTTTAAGTTCTTTAAGATTTAAGCACTGCCTTGACTCGGTAGTTTCTTAATTTGTGTTGTCAGCTCTTAATATCCAAAAACTCTTAATATCTCTGTCAGCTCTTAATATCCAAATATCCAAAACCCCCTTGTTTATCTAAATTTTCAAAAAACTGATTTAAAAAGCTGACTTTCCTTCTTTCTTTAAAGATTACAAGAAAGATCGGAGAGTTTTTCTCTTTGAGAAAGCTATATAACACTATTTCCCTGATCCAAAAGAGCTATTCGATTGAGAACAAAACTTTGTTAACCATTTCAACGCTAAAGTTTAGCAGAATCTCGAATCAGAATCTATACTGGCTAAGATTTATGATCTAATTCATAAGACCTAAATTTAAACTATGAACAAAGCTGTTAGACAGAAAGAAAGCTGTTAGACAGGCACAAAATTACCCGGGAAAGAGTTCTTCGTTGTAACTTTACAGTCAATTAACTTCACCGTATAATAGTATATAAATTTATTCATTTCAACCTATTTGGATATTAATGAAAAGAAAAATCCGTTGGCTTTTCTTTCGAAACACAAAACATCGAGTAAAATTGATAAAATTGAAGCTTTATTTTCCTCCGTTTTTGTTTTCTGAAAACTCGAGAAAAAACAACATTAAGACTAGAAAAGTGTGACTTTTCTAGTCAAGAATAATTACCGTAAATACTGTAATAGTACCCAGCGTAAATACTGTAATAGTACCCCACCCCCATCATGACGGTGCGGAGTGTTGGGTAGTCTAGCTTTGAACGAGTTTTTCTCGGTACTGGTTTATGCTACAGTGCTCGCTTAGGTATCAAAAAATAGCCCTGAATTTCAGGGCTATTTTTTGATACCTAAGCGCGCATTGTAGCCTAAACCAGTATCGAGAAAAACTCGTTCAAAGCTAGACTACCCAATACTCCGCACCGTCATCATGGGGGTGGGGTACTATTACAGTATTTACGGTAAGAGTTTATAAAAAAGAATTATAAGAATTTTATGGGGCATTTTGTGTATGTAAATGATGCTCAAATTTGAGTTTGCATCGTTTTTGACTCCTCGATTTCACAGCTTTAAAAAAATGAACTAACGCGAGCTTTTCAGAGTTTCTTAAAGGGCAATTTGTAAATAAATAATAGAGCTTTCTGATAAAATAAACCATAGATTGATTGGTTCATTATTCATTTCAAGAAGTAACCAAAAAATGGGTAAGGCTTAGGCCAAGCTGATGTCTACAGAGTCTACAGAGTCTACAGAGTCTACAGAGACAGCTTGAGCCTTGTTCTGGATCCAGATTACAGATCTACTTCCTCATAAACAATAGTTCTCAATCGATAGTTTTCCCGAAATTTCACTACGTGCATTTTCCTGTTTATCCCATAAAAATCTCTGTTGTTTTCGATTTTCTTTATTTAGCTCTAGCTATCGAGCTCTAAACTAGCTCCAAATAGCCTAAAAGCCTAGAGCTCTGTTTTTTTTTGCGTTAAAAAGTTACTAGAGTGATTTGTATCAAATTTTGCCTTCAAAGTGCATATTTTCTTTAGAAATTCGGCAAAAAAAACGGGTAAATATCTCTCAAAAGTGCACATGTTGTTTTGTTCTCTTCTTTTCAGTCTGGAAGAGTCTTTTCAGTCTTTTCCTATCTCTTTTCCCTAAACCCCGCCCTCTTATTTACTCCAATAATCCTCAACTCTTCCGGAACTTTGAAAAGACTTTGCGAAAGCTTCAAATTCACTCATTCATTTTGATTTTTAAGCTAAAAGCTAACTGATTTTTAAGCTAATTCGAGAATTTTTATTCACTCACTGAACAAAATGGTAAATTTTTCTTTTTTTAAACTAAAAACTTTACAGCATCGTCGCTTTGTCATTGATTTAGTCGAAACTTTCAAAATCCTCCGTTGTAAACAGATTAGCCCTTTGTTTATAGACTTTTTCAAATTTAAACCGCGGTCAGGGCCCAGAAGTGGCTCATTCCTTTTGCAAATTCCCTTTGCTTCCAATGCCTCTTTATCAAATTCATTTCCCGTTAGAGCCGCTAGATTATGGAACTTGCTCCCAAACGACATACGAGAAATTCAGTCGCTTTTCATATTCAAGAAACGTATCGATGCTTTAGATCTAGTGGCTCTTTGCCGTAAGTAATTGGCTTATTGATTTCAGTATGTATTGTATGATTAAGTATCACTGTGCATTTCTCTATGATTTCTTTCACTTTATCGTTTGAATAAAGTATTATTATTATTAAGTAATTCTTTTACTATTTTTTGAAATTTACTAAAGCTAAAGACCCAGAATCCTTAAGAATTTAATTTCAATGTTAATTAAAGTTAAAAGTTGTTTGAAGTGATTGATTATTGAAAGCTCAAATGATATTCAATTGTTTATCTAAGATTTCTTGAAGCTAAAATCTTCTTAGCTGAATTCTTTTGATTTCAGCATACTATAGAACAGTTAGAAGCTAAAGTATCTTCAAAAATTTGATTTATTTCAAGAAAATGAAATCATTTCTCTTTTTAAACAACTTAGAATCACAATAAATCCAAATCTTATCAGAAAAAACTTGAAGCCGAAGTCGATTTCAACTTTAAACTATAGCTTTTTGAGCCAAATTAGGTTCAAATTGTTATTAACTCTTAATAAATGTTAACCAATAGCCAATTGTTAATCAATTCTAGTACACGATTTCATCACCTTTCTCTAAATTTTTCGATTTTAGGCCGATTCAATCAACATGCCTGATCCAAAACATTCCACAAAAACAGGTCGGCTCATGTTTACGAGAAAAAATCATTTGCCCGTTTGCACATAGAGAGTTTTGAGTGATCAAATCTTGCATAACACGTAATAAACAGTCAATTTGGGCAAATAAATGTTTAGATTTTTGAGTTTTAAATCAAATAGAACAAAGTGGAAGTCCAGTGGTCCAGTTTTACATCAATTTCCATAAGCCATCAGTGGATAAAGGTTTCTGAAAGACTCAAAGGTCCTATTACTGTAGCTATTTTACTTTTTGAAAGAAGAAATTTCAAATAGAAACATAGCAAAATAGAAAAAAAACGTATCTGAAATTGGTTTTCCAGTGGAACACGAGGGTCATTGTGGTGGTGAATTCCACGAGTGCGATGAGGGTACGGAGAATCGAATGAGAAGGGAATATCAAGCCGGCAAAGAGGATGGAAGTTTGTAGTAAACAACTTTAAATATACAAACAATTTCTAATATTTAAAGATTAAACAAATAATGTTTAAGATGTGGTCTAAAATTAGGGGAACTCCTTTTTAGAGAAGTTGCTGACAAATGCCTAGCTGGCAAATGCCTAGCTGGCAAATGCCTAGCTGGCAAATGTCTAGCTGACAAACGCCTAGCTGACAAATGTCTAGCTGGCAAATGTCTAGCTGACAAACGCCTAGCTGACAAATGCCTAGCTGGCAAATGTCTAGCTGGCAAATGCCTAGCTGACAAACGCCTAGCTGACAAATCCCTAGCTGACAAATCCCTAGCTGACAAATCCCTAGCTGACAATTGCCTAGCTGGCAAATGCCTAGCTGGCAAATGTCTAGCTGACAAACGCCTAGCTGACAAATCCCTAGCTGACAAATCCCTAGCTGACAAATCCCTAGCTGACAAATCCCTAGCTGACAAATCCCTAGCTGACAAATCCCTAGCTGACAAATCCCTAGCTGACAAAAGTGTCAAGTGTTTTATGGAAAATTGAAGCCCTAAATCTTGGCTTCATTTATCTATTGCAAACTTTACAATCGGAGTTATGCAGCTCATTTAAGCAGCTTTCGAATGAGCTCAATGCAATATTAAATAAATGAAATAAATTCGTATTCAATTCAATACTAAATAAAGATTAAATAGCAATAAAATCCAAATAAAATGAAAATAAAATGAAAATAAAATATTAAAACAGAATAATATTCTCTTCAATAATGCAAATATTTGAATAGATTTGTATTTGAAAATTTCAAATCTTTTCAGGAAAGTTTGGTGCAAAGATCAACCAAAATGCCCGAGACGCTGGAGGTGAGAATATGTAAAAAAAAAAACGAGCTTTACAAGTCCTTTTTATAGAAAAGAGTTTAAGGATTATATAAAAATTTAGAAATTCTATAAAACATTTGAAATATACTATTGTAATTTCCAGAGAAAGTGAAAGAATTTCATTAATTTCCACAAACCAGCTTTATCTCGGGCTTTGTCACGAGCACTTTGAGCTGTCTTTGAGCTTTTGAGCTTTCAAATGTCTTCCACTTTCTCTAGAAATTACAATAGTACATTTTATTCTATAAAACAATTCAAATATACTATTGTAATTTCCAGAGAAAGTGAAAGAAACCGCTCAAAATGCTCGTGACAAAGCCCGAGATACAGCTGGTTTGTGGAAATTAATGAAATTTCTAGTAAACATTTCTAGAATCCGCAAAACAAAATGTCCGGGAAAAAGCTGATCAAGCAAAAGGTTTGATGGATATTTTGAATTGTTGGAAAAATATTTAGATAAAGCTGAAGAGTACAAAGATTGGGCGGGAGAGAAAGTCGAGGATGTGAGAGGTGGGATCAACTTTTGAATCATAATGCTTAGTTAGTTAGCTTCGTAGGATTGATGGCAATCAGTTTTCAAATTCTTATTCATTATACTAATAATTTAAACTAATCCTCATCCATTTTTATGGCTTTTATGCAAATTCTAGATACTGCTCGTGAGTACAAGCAAAAGGCTGGTGAGAAAGTTGACGAGTACAAAGATTGGGCTGGAGAGAAAGTTGAAGATGTGAAAGGTGAGCTATTGTTGAAGAAATGAGCTGTTGAACAGCAATTGTTGAAGAAATGAGCTGCTTAACAGCAATTAACAGAAGTTCATATGATTAAAAAGGTTATTATTAGCTTTATTTCTGTTTAGACACCGCTCGTGAGTACAAACAAACCGCTGGCGAAAAAGTCGACAAGGCGAAAGGTAAAGGAAAATGGTTTTTTTTTATTTCGGGAGTACTTAGTTTGCCAATTTTGATAATTAGGGGTTTATTTTTGAACAAAAACATCATATGAAAGCTATTTTGATCTTTAGAAACCGCTCAAGAATACAAGGATTGGGCTGGAGAAAAGGTTGAAGATGTGAAAGGTGGAAACATTTCTTTACAAGTTGATTCAAAAGTTTAGATACTGCTCGTGAGTACAAGGACAAAGCTGGCGATAAAGTCGATAAGGCAAAAGGTTTGTTTTTGAAAGTAGATTCTGGGAAATTCTGTTTAGAAACTGCGAAAGAGTACAAGGACAAAGCTGGCGAAAAAGTCGACAAGGCGAAAGGTAAAGGAAAATTGTTTTTTTGAATTCGGGAGTACTCAGTTTCTCAATTTTGATAATTAGAAGTGTATTTTTGAACAAAAACATCCTATGAAAGTTATTTTGATCTTTAGAAACCGCTCAAGAATACAAGGATTGGGCTGGAGAAAAGGTTGAAGATGTGAAAGGTGAAAACATTTCTTTACAAGTTGATTCAAAAGTTTAGATACTGCTCGTGAGTACAAGGACAAAGCTGGCGATAAAGTCGATAAGGCAAAAGGTTTGTTTTTGAAAGTAGATTCTGGGAAATTCTGTTTAGAAACTGCGAAAGAGTACAAGGACAAAGCTGGCGAAAAAGTCGACAAGGCGAAAGGTAAAGGAAAATTGTTTTTTTGAATTCGGGAGTACTCAGTTTCTCAATTTTGAAAATTAGAAGTGTATTTTTGAACAAAAACATCCTATGAAAGTTATTTTGATCTTTAGAAACCGCTCAAGAATACAAGGATTGGGCTGGAGAAAAGGTTGAAGATGTGAAAGGTGGAAACATTTCTTTACAAGTTGATTCAAAAGTTTAGATACTGCTCGTGAGTACAAGGACAAAGCTGGCGATAAAGTCGACAAGGCAAAAGGTAAAGTAAAATGGTTGTTTTTGATTTCGGGAGTACTTACCGTAAATACTGTGATAGTACCCCACCTCCCTTGTAGAGTCGTGTAGTCGCAAAAGTTTTTAGTATTTTATTTTTTTCAAAGCGCCCGTACTTTCAAAAAATGCGTTTTTGGTATCAAAAAATAGCTGGAATTCAGGGCTATTTTTTGATACCTTCGAGCGCATTGTAGCATAAACCAGTGTCGAGAAAAACTCGTTCAAAGCTAGACTACCCAACACTCCGCACCGTCATTATGGGGGTGCGGTACTATTACAGTATTTACGGTAGTTTGTCAATTTTGATAATTAGAAGTGTATTTTTGAACAAAAACATCATATGAAAGCTATTTTGATCTTTAGAAACCGCCCAAGAATACAAAGATTCGGCTGGAGAAAAGGTTGAAGATGTGAAAGGTGAAAACATTTCTTTACAAGTTGATTCAAAAGTTTAGATACTGCTCGTGAGTACAAGGACAAAGCTGGCGAAAAAGTCGATAAGGCAAAAGGTTTGTTTTTGAAAGTAGATTCTGGAAAATTCTGTTTAGAAACTGCTAAAGAGTACAAGGACAAAGCTGGAGAGAAAATCGATCAAGTTAAAGGTTTCGTGAACTTAAGTTTAGAAAAGTTTGCGAGTTTTAGATACTGCTAAAGAATACAAGGATGCAGCTGGTTCCAACTTTGAAGATGTGAAAGGTAGATGAAGTTAAAGACTTCAATAATAATTGAGGATTTAGAATATGCGAAAGAAACGGCCGATTCAGTCAAGCAAGGTGCAAAGGAAACAGCTGATCAAGCAAAAGGTTAGCTGAATCTCTTGATTTATGGATTTAGATAAATATTTAGATAAAGCTGAAGAGTACAAGGAATGGGCTGGAGAGAAAGTCGAGGATGTGAAAGGTGGGATCAACTTTTGAATCATAATGCTTAGTTAGTGTAGAAGTCGGAAAGAAAAGCATTGAATGGGCTGGTGGAACGATTCAGACAGCAAATGGTAAGCTTTGGGAAAGGGCAGAGTTATTTCAAGCTTGGGAATTTGAAATAGCGCTGATGTTGTGTTGATTTTGTTCGCAAATTCGTTCGCAAAGTAGTTTTGTTACTTTAAAATTTCCAGACCGAGCTCGTGATGCAGCTGACAAAGCTGGAGACAAGTTGGAAGAGACGAAAGGTATAGAATGCTCTTCAACTATCTAGCCATAAAAAAAATCCTTTGTCTACAGGGTGGCTCACAATTATAGCTAGATTGGCCACTTTAGAAGGCTTAGATTGGTCACTTTAGAAGGCCTAGATTGGCCAAAATTGAGTCAATCGTTCCAGGAGGCATACTTAAGATTTACCTCAAGAAAAATGAGAACGATAAGCTGACTTTTCGTTGAACTTTACTATTACATGGTGGTCCACAATTATAGCACAAAACTGTAATAGTAAAGTTCAACGAAAAGTCAGCTTATCGAGTCAGCCATCGTTCTCATTTTTCTTGAGGCAAATCTTAAATATGCCTCCTGGAATCCCATAAGTGAGTAGCGAAACTCGGCTCTCAACTTTGGAAAGCCATATAAAAAAAGTTGAAAGGTTGAAATGATTAGATAATGAGCACCGTTCAAGGAGACATACTTAAGATTTACCTACAGAAAAATCAAAACGATTGACTAAATTTTGGCCGATCTAGACCCTCTGAAGCGCGACGCTATAATTGTGGACCACCATGTAATAGTAAAGTTCAACGAAAAGTCAGCTTATCGTTTTTTTTCCATTAAAAGGCTTAGGATTTTATGTCAAAACTCGTAGACTGAATATTTACTTGAATGAGGGGAGAAGCCATCGTTAGAAGGGCAAGCCGGCCTTGACTTTTGGCTTTGTTTGGCCTTGCTTTACTATAGAACTAGGCAGAAAAAGACCAGGTACAGGTCTGGTTTCCTGGTCTGATTCTGAGCTAGCTTCTTGCCATAACTTTAACTAAATCTTATGATCTTTGACTTGACTAACTTGATTTTCACCTTTCTTTTTCAATTTTAAAGTTTATTTTAGAGAAAGCCGGTGAAAAGCTCGAGGATATAAAAGAAAAGGCCAGCGGTGGGTTGTTTTTTGATCGATTAATGACTTTTCAATTCAGAAACCGCCAAGGAATACAAGGAGTGGGCTGGCGAGAAAATGGAGGATGCTAAAGGTGGGCAAAAAAAGCCTAAAAAAGCAGAAAGCTTAAAAATAATCCACTATTCTCCTGAAACTATAGGCTGGCTGAAAAAGAAAATGTGTTGCTCGTGCTCTCATCCGTAAATTTGCCAAAAATAGCAATATTTCTCAGTACTTAACTTGAGTTTTGCCGCTTTTGTATTTATTTTTTAGAATAAATTTGGTAGAAAGATGAAAGTTTAAATGCTGAACACATCAAATTTCGTTTTATTCGGAAAGTTTACATTTCTAGACACCGCCAAGGAGTACGCTCACTGGGCTGGAGACAAGATGGAAGGAGCTAAAGGTGGGAGATTGAGGAGTTGATTGAAGTGCTGAATCAGATTTATAAGATAAGTTAAGCTTTTAAAGAGTATGGTAAAGAAGAAGTGTACGTGTGCTTAGAATGAAATGCTTAGAATGAAATGCTTAGAATGAGATCCTTAGAATGAAATGCTTAGAATGAAATGCTTAGAATGAGATCCTTAGAATGAAATGCTTAGAATGAGATCCTTAGAATGAAATGCTTAGAATGAAATGCTTAGAATGAAATGCTTAGAATGAGATCCTTAGAATGAAATCCTTAGAATGAAATCCTTAGGATAAGAATACTACTGTATGCTAAGAACGACGTAGATTTTAGAGGAGTACGGTAGCATCCCAAGATCTAGATCTGTTTAGAAACCGCCAAGCAATGGACTGGTGAAAAGATGGAAGATGCTAAAGGTAGATTCGAGAATTTTACTGATATAAGAAAGAGATTTCAGAGAAAGCCGGTGAATACAAGGAATGGGCTGGTGAGAAGATGGATGATGCAAAAGGTCAGTGATAGTGTATGTAACCTAGATCTCACGATTGCGTGGCTTGCAGTAGGCTAGTGGTTAGCGCGATAAAAGTTAGCCTGAATTTCTTGAAAGTACCTGCAGCCACTGTCTTTCCTGTCTGTCAAAGTACCTGTATCGTGAACACTGTCTTTTACCTTTCGCCGACACTTCCTGAAACTTTTAGTAGCACCGAGTGCAGTGCGACTGCAGGTTAAGGCTTCGAATCCCCCTCCGCTGAAACATTTTACTTTTCTACCAAAAACATATTATAGAAATAACCTTTTTAAGCAAAAGGGAGCGTTCTCAACTTGGTTTGGTTCTGGTTTAACTATTCAAGGCCAAGATTAAGGCAGACTGGCTTCTGCCTGACCTACAAGATTTCTGGCAATTCTGGCCGACCTACAAGATTCAAGCCAAGCCAAGACTAGTCTAGGTCAAAAGCAGAACTGAAAACCTATAGAATTTGTTAAATAGCAATATAAATCTTAGCTAAACATATGTGATCTAAATACTAAACTATTTCCTTCAGAATCCACCAAGGAAACTGCTCAGGACTACGCGCATTGGGCCGGAGAGAAACTGGGAGATGTGAAAGGTGAAAATCTATTCAATTCAATAATTTGAAGCTTTCAACAGTAATCTGAGCCTGTTGAAACGATGATTTTTCGTTGAAAAACTAGAATCCAGTTCGAAATTTCCCTTTTCAAGACGCCGCCATTGAAAAAGCGAAGGAGTACGCCGAATGGGCCGGTGAAAAGCTTCACGAGGCAAAAGGTTGATTTTGAAGAGTTTGAGAAGAGTTTGAAGAGTTTGAATTCTGTAAATTTTAAGTGTAACTAATTGCTTTACTATCATATATCATTTGATTGCTTTAATATAGTGTGAACTTTCAGAATGGGCAGGTGACAAGGCACAAGGCGCAAAAGGTATTGCTGACTCTAAAACCTATCTTAGTTTGCTATAATTTTCAAGAAATCTCAATGTAAACTGTATTTTTATTTCTTAATTTTTCAGAATCCGCAAAAGAAACAGCTTCTGAATACGCAGATGAAGCCGGTCGAAAGTTGAGCGATGCAAAAGGTAAAAGAAAGAAAGAGTTTTGTGATTTTGCCTTAAAAATCATAAAATTTTAAAGAAAACTATTTAAAAAAACAGTTTTATTTCCGAAATCCTTAACTTTTCTAGATTCTGCCAAAGAAAAAGCTTCCGAGTATGCACATAGAGCTGGGGACAAGTTGCATGATGCGAAAGGTGAGTGTAAAATTTTGATTTACAATGATTTAAGTCCACTAGAGCTCTTAAAGTACCCAAAAACTGATGGAAAAAAGTGACATAATGCAATAAACGCGTTTAAGTATAAAGACTGACAAGGTAAAACGTTTCAAAGAAAATCTAAGACTTTGAATTGATCAAATTTGAGTTTTGTGTTTGTGAAATCAAACGCCTATCGAACCAATCAGTGGGTATCAAGGAAACAAAAGCTAGAGGTCTAGAGGATAGTCCGTTAGGCTATCAGACTAGTGCAATCTTTGTCCTCGGGTTCTAGTCCTCTTGCCGCTCTACTTTTTTTGCAAAACTTTTACAAAACATTGTACTGACTATTGGCCATTTGGTCACCACAGTTGACCTTCCCTCGTAAGGAAAAATGAGTATGACGTCAAAACACGCGAAACTTTCAAAGAATCATCACAAAGTCTATCATTGACACTGACCATATGAGATTCGGAAATATTTCCGAAGAAAGTTTATTGCAAAATATTTCAAAAAAAGAGATGAAGAGTAAAGGAGAGAGGTGAAAGGCGGCAAAGGATAGGAGGGCAAGGCGGGATCTCTTGCTGACAATGAATTTAAACTACAAAATTTTCCTAAAGGAGAGAGGTGAAAGGCGGCAAATGATAGGTGGGCAAGGATCTCTTGCTGACAATGAATTTAAACTTCAAGATTTTCCCATAAATTTCTCGAACCCAAATGGATTTACAGTATCTTGTTTAGAGAATTTAGATATTAGTTAATCTAAAAATTCTATTTAGAATCCGCAAAAGAGACCACAAAAGAATACGCTCAAGAAGCTGGTCGAAAATTAAGCGATGCTGCTGGTGAGGGAAAAGTTTATGAAAAAATTCAATTCAATTTCAGAATCCGCCAAAGAAACTGCTAAAGATTATGCTCATCGAGCTAAAGGTGGAAAAAAATAAGAAAATGAGAACAATAAGAATTTAGAATCAGTCAAGGAGAAAGCCTCGGAATACAAGGATTGGGCTGGAGATAAAGCGCATGAAGCAAAAGGTTTGAGAATTGATTTGATCGATTTAGAAATAAGATAAGATCATGAGCTTATCGTTAAGTACATTATAAGCTTAATCCTTTATTTTCTTTTGTAAACATTATCGTTTTGCAGAGTCGACAAAAGAGACGACAAAAGAATACGCACAACAAGCCGGGAGAAAGTTGAGCGATGCAGCAGGTGATGGTTTAATTTAAAACAAGTAAAAAGAAGCAAATGCTAGTTAGAAATGTGATAAAATTTAGTAATATTACAAGTAAATTGTTTAATTTCTCAAAGAATTCTAGATTCTGCCAAAGAGAAAGCTTCCGAGTATGCGCATAGAGCTGGAGACAAGATGCATGAGGCAAAAGGTTGACAGTTTAAACAGAAACAAGACAGAAAATGTTTAAACTAAACTTTAAAAACTATATATTTCAATTGTTTTTAAATGAAATATTGTTTAGAATCAGTGAAAGAAACCGCAAAAGAATATGCGGATCGAGCTGGGAGAAAATTAAGCGACGCTTCTGGTGAGTGAAATGAATGGGAATGATTGGAAAAGTATATATCGTATTCTCTAATAGTAGTGCGCCCCGGCGAGCCGAGTTGATGACTATTTTACGGTTTCCAAGCTTTTGCAGAAGCTCAACACTCTAATCCCCCACTAGATCTCATCGTCAGCTACATTTTCCGATCCCACATCGATAGGTTCTGATAAGCGGTTTTCGAGATTGCGAGGAATTTAGACGAAGCTCAAAGTAGACTTAGACTTTTCCGTTCAACTAAAGCATTCAAAATTGGAATATCAGTTGAACATCTTTGAGCAACTTTAGGTTGTAGATTAGATGCTTTTTCCTGATTATTTTCTAGTAGTGCACTAGTGCAGCCGAGTTAATGACTATTTTACGGTTTCCAAGCTTTTACAGAAGCTCAACACTCAAATCCCCTACTAGATCTCATCGTCAGCTACATTTTCCAACCCCACATCGATAGGTTCTGATAAGCGGTTGACGAGATTTCAAGGAATTTAGGCGCTCAGGCGCTTATATTAGAGAAAATACGGTATACATGAAAAACAGACTTTTGAATTCCTCTATGTCACCACAAATCTTTTTACTTTGTCTATAAATTTGTTTTGATATTAGGAGCTTTAGAATAAGAAAAAGAACCAACTCTTATTACATCAACCATTCTAGATTTAAAGTGCTAGATTCTCTACTCAATCTTCCTGACAATATTTTTTCAGTAAGAGATTTAATTGTAAGTAAGCTTTAAAACCTTTAACATACCGTATTTCTCTAATAGTAGTGCGCCCCGGCGAGCCGAGTTGGTGACTATTTTACGGTTTCCAAGCTTTTGCAGAAGCTCAACACTCTAATCCCCCACTAGATCTCATCGTCAGCTACATTTTCCGACCCCACATCGATAGGTTCTGATAAGCGGTTCTCGAGATTTCGAACAATTTAGGCGACGCTCAGGGTGCACTAATATTAGAGAGAATACGGTTTTCAATTTTTTTTAATGAAATATTGTTTAGAATCAGCGAAAGAAACCGCAAAAGAATATGCGGATCGAGCTGGGAGAAAATTAAGCGATGCTTCCGGTGAGTGAAATGAATGATTGGAAAAGTCTGGGAAAGAAATCTTACAAAAGTAACTCGCTAGTGGTCGCTAGTAGTCGCTAGTTGGCGCTAGTAGTCGCTAGGTGTCGCTAGGAGTCGCCAGTAGTCACTAGTAGTACAAAGGTAACCTTTAAAATGCCCACAAATTGCAGACACTGCAAAAGAGAAAGCCTCGGAGTACGCGGGTCGAGCCGGTGAAAAACTCCGCGATGCGAAAGGTGAGCTTTTTATTCAAACTTGTTTTGAAGACCGATACTTTTCAGTGATTTTAAGAACTACCACCGTAAATCCTCTATTAGAGCGACGTGCCGCTCTATCGCAAACAATAGAGTGACAAATCCATATTGCGGATCCTTAAAAATCACATAAGGGGTACCAAATTGATGAAGAAAATGATTTTTCTTGCTTAATTTACTTTAACCCGTTTATTTTTTGTCTAAAAGATACGAAAAAGACATTTAAAACGAAAAGTTTTCCCTCTGAATTGACTATTGAAGGCCCAAACATTCGAAAATTCATCTGGGGGATCATTATCATTTTTTGACAAAAGATTTTTTACTTTTAATCGATTTAAAACAGAACTGGAGCTGTTTAGAATTGGATTGTACACTCAAACTACCTAAAAAGCCATCACCTGTTTACCTAGTGATAATATAAATCATTTTAAGCACTCTTTACAAAATAGCTTTCAGAAAAGCTTTTAGTTAGTCGCAAAATTAACGTTAGGGGTGCCGCTCTGATAGAGCATTTACGGTAATCAATTTAGACTTAATTTATTCAACTCAAACTTTCATTTGTAAATCTTAGACTCCGCTTACGATACGGCAAAAGAGTACTCGGATTGGGCGGGTGACAAGTTGCACGAGGCAAAGGGTCAGTGCAAAAATAAAAGCTCTTGTTTTTAAAAAATAACATTAAGTCTATAAAAATCAACTCCAGTTTTAATATTTTTGTTTAGACGCTATGGAAAGAGAGGCCCACGAGGCTGGCGAGAACATCGAGGAGACAAAAGGTTCGCTTCCGATTCGGTTTCAATTCGGTTTCAATTCGGTTCCGACTCGGTTCCGACTCGGTTCCCATTTAGAGCTGATTCGGTTCCGTTTCTGTTCTCATTCGGTTACCATTTAACGCCAATTCGTTTTCTATTCGGTTCCGATTTGGTTCCCATTTAACGCCGATTTGGTTCCCAGTTAACTCCGATTTGGTTCCCATTTGATTTCCTACGTAGTTCTTTGTAGTTCCGATTTGGTTCCCATTTGGGGCCGATTCGGTTCTGATTCTGTTCCGATTAGGTTCCCATTTAACGTCGATTCATTTCTCATTCGGTTCCGATTCGCTTCCGATTCGATTCCCATTTAAGGTCCAAACCCAATATCCAAGCTTGTTTTCTATTCGGTTCTGATTCGGTTCCGATTTGGTTCCCATTTGGGGCCGATTCGGTTCTGATTCTGTTCCGATTAGGCTCCCATTTAGCGCCGATTCGTTTTCTATTCGTTTGCGATTCGTTTGCTATTCGGTTCGCTACCGATTCGATTCCCATTTAAGGCCCAAACCCAATCTTCAAGCTTGAAAAAATTGACAATTTCAGACTCAGCCAAGCAATGGACCAGCGAGAAAGTTGATCAAGCAAAGAGTGAGTTTAATGGGAAATTTCAAGAAAATCAAGATCCCAATCCAATTTAGAAACCGCTCAAGAGTACAAGGATTGGACGGGTGAGAAGATCAACGAGGGACACGGTGAGAAGGCATTTTCGAACTGAATATTCTTTAATTTCAGGAATTGCTAGTGAAAATGTCGGAATGATTCGAGAAAATATCAGAAAGGCTTCAGGTTGAGGATTATTATGCGAATTTTGAAAACTCTTTTCAGATGACGCCTCAAGACACGCCGAGAAGGGCTATCAAGAGGGTCGACAAAGAGCCGGTTAGTTCAAAAAAAAGGATAATCCGTTTTCTAAAAGTCATCTATTCTTAGAAAACTATAATCGAACCAATAATCAACTCGTAGTTCGATTTAAACCTCAATTTTGGTATCAGAGGACTCACAAGGCTCAGTCAATGATCCCAAAATTGGGTTGATCGATTGTAAACTAGCGGTTTGATTACGGTTTTTTTCTAAAGTATCGTAAATACTCTCATAACATCACCCCCATAATGACAGGCGTACAGTCGCGTAGTTTAGCTTTTAATGTCCCATTCTCCGTCTTTCTTTTCTGCTACAGTTTGTGCCTAGTGTCAAAAGATAGCTCTGTCAAAAGATCTCAGAATGCCACCTCCATAATGGTAAGCGTACAGTCGCGTAGTTTAACTTTGAACGTCCCATTCTCCGTCCTTCTTTATGCTACAGTTTGTGCTTGGGTGTCAAAAGATAGCTCTTGAAATCTAGTAACTAGTAATCTAGCATTTTTTAGTACCAAATTTTCAGAACAATAGATTCAACCAATTATAGCACCTTTATATCACCTTTTATCGAATTTTATGCTCAAATTTCCTTAGAAACCGGTCCAAATTGGCGTAAAAAGATAGAAAAATGTATAAACAACATCTTCTATTCAAGGCAAACTGTACTTTGATGAGCTTTTCATTTTTATAATAGATTTAAATTTAAATTTAAAAGAGTTCAACTGAAGTCGTTCCTCGCCCTCTTTCTCCTAGGTTTGAAAAACAAATGTTCAATGTAGCTTTACTTTAAGAATCTACATCAAATTGGCTACAAAATGAGCTATTAGGCAAGTTTTTTGGCTGAGTAGAAAATTTTTTATAGGCATTTTTGAACCTAAACTTTGGGGGCTCAAAAAAAATTTTCTACTGAACCAAATGAGCTAATTTCAAAAATTTATTATAAAATATATGTATTATGAACATTTTTTATGTGGGTCACTTTTTGATTGGATGCCCGGAAATACCCTCATTCGTTAGCGGCTGAATTTCGTAAACGGCTACGACATATAAACAACATCTTCTATTCAAGGCAAACTGTACTTTGATGAGATTTTGATTTTTAAATGGATTTATAAAGGTCTAAAGGCATCGGTTAACCTAATATTTTGCTTGGACAGTATTTTTTATAGAACAGAGTTCACTTTTCAGAATCTTTGAGCGAATCGATCCAGGAGAGTCTGTTGACGGGCGCTCATGTAGTCGGACATGCCATTGGTAGGAGAAACTCTATATTTTCTTGACTCTAGCATTTGATTCCTTTACCAGTTCTATTAACTAAACACTAAAAAAGCTTTATAGAATTTTAAAACATTTTAAATCTGCAGTTTCATTGCCTATTTTCAGGCTCAATGGCTCACGCGGTTGGCGGGCTTTTAGGTGAGTTGAATATTATGAAAATATAGAAAATTTCAAAAGCTATCGTATACGAAAAGTTTCAGGAAGTGTCGGCGAAGTGGTAAAAGACAGTGTTCACGATACTGGTGTGGCTGCAGGTACTTTCAAGAGATTCACGCTAACTTTTATCAAACCCTTCACGATTACGGTAGTTTAAATGCTTTCTAGAAAAGAAATGGTGTGCAAGAGAAAACTTTGAGTTCTTTATGCTTAAATTAATGCCAAAAAGAAAGCTGAATTGAATAGTTTCTCTGTATTTTCTACCGTAATCCGTTTTCTATTTTGCACTAATTTTGGCCGATAAGCAAGTCTACAAAAGCTCAAATTCACAAATTACTGTATTGCACAATTCTCAAACTCACCTTTCTTGTCCTCCATTTAACCCGGGCTTTCTATTGGATTATCGGACATTTAATACACGCCCCGCCCCTTTTGCCATTCGCAATCTAACTTTAAGCTCAAATATCTTGGTGTTGGGCAATCCAATTTAAACATTCTTGGTATCATTAGATGCGCCAAGGCTTTCTCTATCGATTCGTACAAAAACTATCTAAATTCAACAGCTCAACACCGAGAAATTTGAGCACAAAGTTGGATTGCCATTGGGAAGGAGGCGGGGCCATTGTGCTACCTTTTATACACGCCCCGCCCCTTCTCCCATTGGCAATCTAACTTTAAGCTCAAATATCTTGGTGTTGAACTGTTCACTTTAAACATTCTTAGTATCATTAGATGCGCCAAGTCTTTCTCTATCGATTGGTATGGAAACTATTGAAATTGAATAGCCCAACACCAAGATATTTGAACTCAAAGTTAGATTGCCAATGGCGAAAGGGGAGCGTATCAAATGTTCCACAATCTTTCTATTGTGATGGGTTACTGTACCCCCAGTTGCTTTCTAGAATCTCACCTTGTGTTCAGCCAGCTACTTTACAAAGCTTTTAATCAAAATTCTCGAAATTTCCAGCCGAAAGTGTGAAGGGACTTTACGACGGGGTTTCTGATGATTCCCAACATCCCGGGGACTCGGCCGGTTGGGCTGACATTTATTTTTAAATAGGAAATTAGGATTGACGCTGAAAATAGTTTGATTATAAGTTTTCCCAAGTTTCGTAGTACTAAAATAAATCTATAAATCTAAAAACCAATTTCAGCTAAAGTCGGCGAGTCGCTTTACGAAGGCGGGAAGAACGCGAGTGAGACAGCCGGTTCGTTAAAAGTAGAAGAACTGAACAGTTCTAGTCGATCGTTAGATGATTAATATTAGTTTAAAACTGGCTATTACTATAATCTCAATCAATTATTGCAGCTGATAAAGCCAAAGATGCTGGCGAAGTGATTGGCGAGAAGCTCAAGGACACAAAGGAGGGAATGGGTGAGTTTAAAACGATCAATATGTTTTCTAAATTTAAAAACAATCATAATCTCTCTAGCTTTCTATCTCTAATGGTCTGATTCAATAGAATACCACGAAATGTCATTGGGTTGGTGAATTGAAAACTGCCGGAATTTGAACTAAAATTTATTCAACATAAAACCATGAATTCATTCCAAATAATTTCCATTACTATTGACGACTTCTGCCCATTTTACAGGCAATTTGCGGATTCCTCTTTCGTAGTAGGATTTTCGTTTTGAATCGAAGAACTTTTCGAGCCAATTTTTGACTGCTTCTTCCGAATCGAAGTGTTCTCCCGCAAGCTCATTACTCATGGTCCGGAATAAATAGTAATCAGAAGGGGCAAGGTCCGGACTGTATGGGGAATGTGCCAAAAGTTCCCAATCAAGACTGTTTATTTTAGAGCGAGTCAGTTTTGCAAGATGAGGGCGCGCGTTGTCGTGGAGGAGAACGATCTTTGACTTGAAGGGCCTATTCTTCTTTAGGGATTCATTCACCTTTTCCAACTGTTCACTGTATTCGATTGCATTAAGGGTCGTCTTGCTATCCAGCAACTCCCAGTACACCACTCCCTCCATATCCCAAAGTGCTCAAACTGTTACATAAGACAATAGACAATCCGATTTTAGTTTGTGTGTGAGACAAGTGTGAGACTCAAAAATGGAGGACTGGAGATGTCCCGAATGTCAGTTTGACCACTTTCTTCAAAAGAAACCCATTTTGGTGTCAATAGAAAAGTTGTAGAGAATCAAAAATTAGGCTTATAGCCAAATTTCCAAAAAGATACAGTTTCGCTTAAAAAGTTTTGTTGCAAGTTTTGTGAAAATTCGTCAATTTGGCATTTCTTGAAAACGAGTTTTTGAATCGTTCTGAAAATTTGGATATAAGCTTGATTTTTGATTCTCTACAACTTTTCCATTGACACCAAAATGGGTTTCTTTTGAAGAAAGTGCTCAGAACTGTCACATATGACAATAGCCCGCAGTTTTCAATTCACCAACCCAATAGTTAGGAATTAATTTCTATACTTTCATTAGGCTTTCAAGAAAGTCTTTTCGATCCTTTTCGTACTTTCATTGAAAAATAACAAATTCACCGAAATTCGAGAGTGAAAACACGTGCTTTTCGGAAAAATCTATAAAAACTTCTACGAAGAAATTGGCTGAATGAATTTTTCTGAAAATTTGGTTATAGATATCACGCTTTTTATGCTTTATCTTTTATCTATTGACATGAAGATAGATTTCCTCACAATTGTTAGCTAAAGTGTCTAAACCGCATCATCGAGCCGTCGCCCTTTTTGACTCTCCGACTTCACGCTTCCAAAACAATCCAGACTTAAGACATTTTAAACCCGATTTAATGTTATTTTGCAGTAAAATAATTGGCCTTTTTAATGAAACAAATCGTAGTTTAATTCGTGCATTTGTTGGTTTTAAACGAAAGTATAAAAGAGAACGAAAAGACTTTCTGGATAGCCTAATCGATACCTAGTTTTCGAAAACGCATTATTTGAAAAAACTAATAGCTTTCAATTGAACTAACTTTAGAAGGAGCTGCTGCTTACACAGCTGATTTGGTCGGTGACTATGCACAATCCTTGAAGAAAGGAGCACAAAACAAAATGAATCAAATGGCTGAAGGAGCGAAGATGACTGGAGAGAAGATTTGTGAGTCTTCACATCAGTTATTGTTCTAAAGTGATCTTAAAACTTTTCAAATATATCATTCCTTAAAAACGCAAGTACCGGTTCAACTTCTGAATCGATTCAATTTCAAATGTAATTTAGAATGAAATCTCTAGTTCAGCAATTACTTTATTCTCTAAAAAACAAAGTTGAAACTGGATAGCTAACAAAAAACTTAGCGTAAATACTGTAATAGTACCCAGCCCCATAATGACGGTGCGGAGTGTTGGGTAGTCTAGATTTGAACGAGCTTTTCTCGACACTGGTTTATGCTAAAATGCGCGCTTAGGTATCAAAAAATAGCTGAAATTCAGGGCTATTTTTTGATACCAAAGACGCATTTTTTGAAAGTACGGGCGCTTTGAAAAAAATGAAACACTAAAAACTTTTGCGCCTACGTGACTGTACGAGGGAGGAGAGGTACTAAGTAAAACTAATGAAGATATTTCAGCGGAGGGAGCCGGAGCAGCGGCTGGATTCGCTGCACACACAGGTGAAGGAGCGGTGGAGAGTGCAAAGAATGCTGGTGGATATGTTGGTAAGAGATTCTACTTTGACAAGAGACAAAAGATCTTTCAGCTGACAAGGCACAGAATGCAGGAGATAGAGCTGGTGAGGGATTTACAATATGATTTTTA